AACAATAGCACCTTGTGAATCTGCCCTAAACCGGTATATAGTATTTTTCTCAAAAACTCAAAATCTAGCCTTGGGGGTATATATCTGATGAAGTTTAAACAACAAGGAGGAGGGGAGATGGTTTTTTGATTCTGGCTACAACATTATCTGTCATGGGCTCTTGCAGAAGATGAAGGTTTTGAAGTCACTTACCATTCAAGCTAAGCCTGGTCACACGCATTCTCCTTGTCCCTTACTCCTCTGGGACAAGAGGCCGTCCTTTGGGTTGGTCATTCCTCTATTTCTGGGTGTGTTTCCATAGGTGCCAGGCAGCGTGACTGTGTCCTGAAGACTCGGTCTGTCTTCTGTCTACGCTGAGCAGTGAGGATAAAAGCTTGGCCATGGCTGAGTTGTTTCTCACAGTGTTGGCTGGAGACTTTGGCTTTCTGTCTGCCAGGGACATATCAACCAGGAAACCTGAGAATACAAACTAAAAAAGGATCACAGTAAGCAGTGCACACAGAGAGCTTGAGTACGCGAATCATTGTCACAGAGCTAGTAGACATCAAGCCTTTAGTCTGTGTCATTGGCACTCCTTGCCTCTCTGGGATTCCCTCGTCCCTAGGTGCACCAGGAGGCTAAGGCACCCACTATGAATTCCAGCAACACATTTGCGGCTGAGAGTCCTCAGTTGGCCGAGAAGAGAACCTCCTGGCTCCTCCTGATACTCCTTTCCTGGCTGCCTTTGAGAAGACTCCACCCATGCTTGGGATTCCATGTGCCTGGAAGACCATTTCCTCCTCCAGCTTTGAAGGCACTTCCTGTGGTTGACCTTGACTTCTTGACAACGGATTGAAATTGCATTTGCAAGATGTGCAAAGACAGCCTATATAGGACCCGTTCAGGTCCCTCGTGGGGTGAACACTGTTAAAAACTGGTTAATTAAAAGTTATGTAAGAATCATCACCTGTGGGACAAGTCAACTTGTGCCTAACTTCCTGTCAGTTAGGTTAAAGAATGCATTGGTAACTTCGCTGAGGCTAACTAGTATTCAATCACCAACTTGCAATCAGAATTCACCACATTGGCACTTGTTCTAGAGAAGTGTAGCAAATGTTGTTTACATAATCTTAGAACCTCCGAGTGGACTTTAAACAGTGAGGTAGTTTTGAATGGCATTTCATTAAGGCATCTATGGGCATTATGAGCTAAAAGCTGTGGTATGTTAGCTTTAAAAGAGTATTTATGTTGGAATAATTTTTTAAATAATGTTTACATAACCGTAAGTCCTGTTTGGTTGGTATTGAACACAGGACCGCACACGAGAGTGTTTTCCGTGAGACCTGACGTAGCTTCCAAGTGCCAGAATTCCTTTGGGATGAAGCGCTGTCATTTTAAACAAATTGTTTGTAAACGCTTAAAAGTTATATTTTTTAAAGATCGGAATATGTCCCCAGAGGACTATGTCTAATTAAAATGATTGCTGGGAGTAAAACAAACAAAGGATAATACAAAAAAAGGCAGAAGAAATGCATGGAAATATTTTTTCCCTTAAAACAAAAAATTCAAAGTATTATTAATAATAATATATGTCTGTATATATGTATGTATGTAAAGGATCAGCTGTCAGAGCCTTAATCAACGCAGTGTGACAAATGCCAACCCACTGATCGTAGCTTTACTGAGCGGGCCCTCCTGGACCAGCCCTGCATGTTCGGTCTCCTTTGCCACACCCTCTCTTGGCCCCCAGATAGAGATTCGGTGTGCGTTCTCATGCCCTGGTACATCACAGACCCCGCCCGGGGTGGGGTGGAACTTGACTTAGCACCCGAAGCACCTTGATTCGTGGTTCAGCCTGCCTGGTAGGGTGGATCCCATCTCTCAGATTTTTGTATTTTCTGGGAGGTTACCATGTCTCGTCTCATCTATCAACGCTGAGGCAGAAGTCAGAATACATAAGGTGGCTGTTATAGAGGTTGCTTTCCAACGACATGAGCGTTCTGTAGTGTCGACCTTTAGAAGCCTAAATACGATCAACGAATTCCAACGAAGAGTGGGAGCAAGTGAGAAACAGAGTTGGCTGTGCCTCAGCATTTGCCTCCTGACACAATGGCACTTATTTTTATCTCCTTAGTATGAATATTTTAAAAAACATGCAACTTGACCAACTTGGAACAATGGGTCTCTTATGAAAACCTTTATTTAGGCCTTCTGTGAGTGACGTCGTCCCAGACAAGACAAGCCCTGATTCAGCCAGGGCCGGCCAGACCACCCCTCTGGAAGCTCACAAGGGGATTGACACACTGTCTTGGAGAGAAGGTCCACTCGGCAGGAAGACCCAGGGCCCGTGCTGAAGGGGGACATTGCTCACAGGGGACATTGCTAACAGCCTGCTTTGTCCTTTAGTTGGGTGCTTGGCCTTGGGGGTGTCTCAGAGATCCGGGATTAGCTTCCTTCTGTTCACAGAATTCCCTTGATGATCTGATGAAATATGTGGGGTTTGGGTCATCAACCTGGTCCAATTCTAGTGTGATCTAGAACCTGAATCCCAGGGCAAGGAAAAGGTCTGGAATTCACTTTAGCCTGTGGAGTTTCTCCAAACAGAGAAAACGAGGCTGTGCATTGATTCACTGTAAGACCGTTTTCCTCTAAAGCAAAGTTTCATCTTATTCATGAAATGCTCAGCCTGTTTAAATCATTTGTGAAACCCTGTTACCTAGCAGATTCACACTGGGATTTGCCGTTGATCTGGTCCATTTGATGAGTCTCAAATAATTCGTGGTATTGTTGTTCAGGTTGCAAACAAATGTTCCCGTGGCTTCCACTCCCTTGTTTTCCAAGTTTCCTTGATAGACAGAACCTCTGAAAAATAATCCCAAACACCTAAAAGGTTTCTTTTTAAAAAAGAAAAACTGTGTAGAGTGCTATCTATAAATATATTGTATTTTTTATTTTGTGTAATTTTACATTTCACGAAATGTTAGTTTCAAAGAGAAAAGTGGAAGGGGAGCTAACATGTCTGTCTAGGAAGAATTGTTTCATTAAAGAATGTGGCTTTATTGATGTGTCCTGGATTTGTATGACTAGTTCAGACAAGCGTGGTCCTCTTGAGGACATTTTCTCCAATGTCACAGGACTTGAACATACGAAAAGGGGGATCATCTCAGCGCCCTTCTATTCTCAGGTGAGTACCCAGTGCCTGGTTAAGAACAGAGCTCCCTGTTGGACCCAGAAAGTCATGAGCAGAGCTTAAGATGGCTTCAAAGTTGCCACCTTTCTTGAACCCAGACAGGCTGGAAATGTGACGCCATACTTGTTGTGGAGCCGGGGGCCGTGATGACCATGCTAGATGTGGAGACAGACGCCTTCCGTTTGTCCCTCAGCACCTCTCTCTACTTTGTGTGCCTGAGGACCACATCTGGCATCTACAGCTGAAAGTCACAGCTCCTTTAAGGTGGCTCTCTCTGGGCTCTGGTAGCTCTCCTCCCTTCAGGCCCAGGAGTGATGGTGACACTCGCAGGTGTAATCTTGGGGTACTGTGTTTTCCCCCAAGGGGTACCTTTATAAATGGTCCTTTGAATAAGCCCGCTTCAAATAGAGCAAATTGAGTATCTCATTTCCTATGATACAGCGCCATTTTTAACCCAAGGACAGAGGTTCCATGCAGTCGAGGACAGTCTTCTCGGGATGACCAGAGGAGGGGACTTTGGGGTATATTTGGAATTTTGTGGATCATATCAGTGAAGGGTCATAAGGAACCATTTTTTTTAAGATGCTAAGGTTGGTCTTAATGCAAAATGGCTTAAATGCCAAACTACTTATACAACTGTCTTGTGCTGCATGTGAAGTGTCAGGGTTTTAGGACACTTCTATCTATTGCAGTCACCAGCACCGAAAGGTGCTCATTGCTCACTTGCACTCTGCCAGCTAGTCTCCAGGTTCATACTCTTCCACTGTAATCCAGGCTTCCCAGAGAAGAGGGTCACTGTCAACATGACTTAGCTCATGCTCCTCTCCCACTTAAACTCCTCACCCCATCTGTCCCCTTACTCTTTCTGTCCTTTGTTGTTGCTGTTGTTAAGACATCTCATTCATTCATTCATTCATTTCCAGTATGGTTAACACACAGTGTTATATTAGTTTGAAGAGTACACTACAGTGATTCAACAGTTCTATACATTACTCAGTGTTCATCGTGATAAAGGTACTCTTAATCCCCTTCACCTGTATTACCCATCCCCCAGTCTCTTCTCTATATTTAAGAGTCTGGTATTTTGTCTGTCTCTTTTTTCTTTGTTTCTTTGGTTTCTCATACTCCACCTATGTGATTCACTGTGTCTTACTTCTTCTGAGGTCACTGCCTCAGAAGTTTATGTTGCTTTAGGCACACAGACCTCCTTCCGGGCTGTGCCCACTTCAGCTCCAGAACTTTGCATATGCTGTTCCCTCTGCCTGCAATCGTCTTCTCCTCTTTCACATGCATCCTAAGTGTCACCTCTCAGGGACATCTAAAGCAACTGTTTAGTCATGCCGATCACTTCGTCTGCTCCTCTCCTAGCGGGTCTCACTTGTTCTGGTTGGGGGTCCGCCTGCTCTTGTGGGAACATACATTCCTCAAGAGTTGGGGCCTTGCCAAGCCCTGAACCATACCCAGAAAACCACCTGACCTACAGAAGCTGTCAAAAAGATTTGTTGAATCATGATGAATGCATTTGTTTAAGTGACCAAATGTATTGGTCATAATTCTATAGTTTCGTTGGCATGGGACTCCAATTCCCTCAGTGATTTAAAGAAGCAAACTCTTAACAAAGAACTCATAAAAAATATAAAGCAGCCATGTCAGTGGCTTCCTCCAGCTCTAGGAGGGTCCCCACTCAAAATGTGAGAGCAGAAGGGAGGCGAGGCCTCTCATTGACCAGGGAGTGTGCTCACTGTGGCAGCCTCCCGTGGTCCCTCGAATACAGAGCAGACTCCAACCCCGTCACACGGGCATCATCTGTGTTGATACCAGTGGGTGTCATCATTGCTGGGACAGCGGTCAACACCGAAGCCTGCAGCGGGGGAGGGTGCAGCCAGCCTCAGCCTGTGTAACCCATTGTTTCTAAAGAGTCCCTGGCTGCAAAGCCACCAAGCTCTCAAGCCAACTGCGGGTTCTTTGCTGAGCTGGAGGTGTAGCTGAGGAACGAGCCTGGAAAGTAAGGAGAGAAAATGAAAACAAAGAGGGTGGATAACCCGGGCCATACACAGTGACCGTGAAGCAGGATGCCATCTCCCGAGGGGTGGGCAGAGGACTTGGCTACTCCCCTGACCATACAAGGCTTGGCCAGAGCTCTCACGAGCCACCCCTTGTGTCACCCTCGCTCGCCCAGCTGGATTCTCCTGCAGATGTGAGTCACAGGCCAATAACACCAGCAAGTAAGGAGCTTGCCGCGGGCAGCATCTGGAGAAGGTTCTTGGGAGGCCGTCAGAAATGGTGAGTACGGGTAGTAGCTTTTCTCACCCCTTCTTCTTTCCTCACTGTAAAACACATCTCCCAGGCATTTAAAGCTCACATCTCTTAATGCAAACGTGACTCTACTCTGGGTACTGTGACTTCAAGGGACTTGGTATTTTATTATTTTCCTCTAAGCAAAATACTAATCATTAAATCAATTCTCCTCTAATATTTGATGATCTCATCTTTCATTTTAATATTAACGTTTTGGTTTTAAAACCCCACACACAACAAGGGTGCAAAGTAGACGTTTCAGCTAAATTCATTTCCCTGTTGAAGCAGCAGTTTGATCCACGCCTTTAACCTCACTTGCGGAGTCACCTTCCTTTGCGCGATCTGCAACGTACTTGTGAGTTGCTTTGGAAACATTCTGATTTTTTTTACTGACTTGTGACACATATTTGGGTATGACTCAATCAAAAGAAGTTTGTTAAGTTAGAAGAGGCTTCTGTGGTTCTGTTATTAAAGAGATTATTAAAAGGAGTTGAATTCTGGCTTTGGAGTTAGGAAGATCCGTGATCTAACCAGACTCAGACCACTTACCAGCAACCTCTCTTGCTCTCGGTCCGCACACTCACGATGTAGGGATTATAGCCTTCCCCTTATGGGGTGCTTATGCATGCGGTGTCTGACACACAACGTCCCCTCAATAACAGTGAGTAATTATCCCATCTCTCCCTTCTTCCCCTCACAAATGGCAAACTTATCATGAGTGACATTTGGCCAGTGAGCTCCTAATGTGCCTTCATCTGAAGATATCGTATGGTGCTTAGGCCAGCAATGAATGTATTGTGGCAAATTCCAGTACTTGGAATGTTGCTGATCTGTGCATGCCATTCCACCCAGTAAGAACTTCCCAAGTGGCTTCCCTGTGCCTTGCTCGGTGCTGGCCAGGTCTTAAAAAAACATGACACCGTGTGACTCCCCACCCCCACACGCCTAGAGTATTTTACAGTTTGGAAGGAGCTGTTACAGATGTTGTTTCCTTTGGGCTTATCCTGTGAGACAGGCAGGGCGAGTTAACATTATCCCTTTTTTAAGGATGGAAAAACTGAGCCTGGGAGAATAGAGTTGCTGGGAGGAAGTGGAGACCAGAGAGTTTGAGTCACTCTTCCAAGGTCACATAGCTCCCAAGTGGCTGAGTCTGGACTGGAATCCAGATCAGGCGACTTGAAGCTTCAGCCCACCCAGCTGCCTCTCTGAAGGATACTGTGTCAGATTCCCCCCACCCAAATTTATGTGATGTTTTCCTTTCCATGGGAGCACTGTACCATGTCTTTACAAAATATGAATGTCTTTCTGAAACTGGCCAAAATCTTCGTCATCCAGATATTGATAAACAGCACATGCTGCTTGTTTGCTGCCCCACCTGTTGCTGCTCCCCCTCTTCTCTGTCCCCCCAAAGGAAGCTTTGTCTTGGGTCTGCTGACATCAGTACCCAGTATCCACTGATGAGATAAGGCTCTGGGCAGCTGTGTTCAATACCATGGCCACCGAGTGTCCTTGCAGCATCTCTGGGCTTGGTTGGTGTTGGCCCGAAGGGCAGTGGTTAGGAACCTTGAGCAAGAAGACCCTGACCTGGGCGCCTGGGTGGCTCAGTTGGTTAAGCATCCGACTTCGGCTCAGGTCAGATCTCATGGTTCGTGGATTCGAGCCCCGCATCAGGCTCTGTGCTGACAGCTCAGAGCCTGGAGCCTGCTTCCGATTCTGTGTCTCCCTCTCTCTCTGCCCCTTCCCCCGCTCATGCTCTGTCCCTCTCTGTCTCAAAAATAAATAAAAAACTACAAAAAAAATTAAAAAAAAAAAAAGAAGACCCTGACCTAAGGTGGCCCAGATATTCATTTTGCTCTAACATTGTCCTTGAAGAGTATCTATCTTGGTCTCAGTAAAGAGCAGCCTGGAAAGAGTGGCATTGGCTGGCCCAAACTGCAGTGACGGAAGATGGGGACAGGGAGGAGGAGCACAGTTTGGTGCCCCATGGAGCTCACAGTCCTTCAATACTGACTCCATATTTGGGGGAGAGGTGAGGCTGGGTGTGGGGTGAGGGGAGGGTACAGAGGGTCACCCTCTCCTCTGTTGTCCTGAGCAGCTGCGCTCCAGCTGGGAACCTGTGCCTCAGACTCAGCACAGACTAAAGCTTTGTCTTTCTCAGGTTCTCTCTCCCGGGAAGGGGAAGGGGGTTAAGGAGCAGGTGTTCTTGTTGGAGCACGATCCTTGTGGGTCTTACGTCCTACCCCCAGCAGAAGGTACCAGATACTTTTAAGCTCACACAATCCCTTAGGGCGCCTGGGTGGCTCAGTTGGTTGAGCATCTGACTCTTGATTTCAGCTCAGGTGATGATCCCAGGGTCATGGGATCAAGTCCCACCTTGGGCTTTGTGCTCAGCATGGAGCCTACTTGAGATTCTCACTCTGTCTCCCTCCCTTTTCCCCTTCTCTCTTTCTCTCTCTCTCTCAAATAAAAAAATAAAAACTCACACAATTCCCTCCCTAAAAGGAGTTCTGGTGAAAAACAACTTTGAGCATTTTGCTGAATGTTTAGTACTATCTTTGCTGCCCTCTGGGTTGGGACCCGTCAGGCAATTACTGGCTGGCCCCTTAATCTGGCCTTGGCTGGGGATCTGAGGAGGGGAGAAGGGGGTGAAGTTGACATGATACTGAGGGAGGAACTCCTGATCCCAGCCTCCTGTGCACCCTTTCCTTCTTTGGGGGCTGAGATCAGGAGCAGAAATTGGGAGATGACCGAGCTTGTGGAATTAGTAGGGTTTCTTGTGAGCCACTGGGTGGGTGACAGTCGGTAGAGGGGTCAGGAGCCTGACTGACCCTTCCTGGAGTGTTAATGTTTCCTTCTCTCCTCCAGAGTTTCTCACTGAACTTCACTCTGCCGGCCAACACGGTAAGTGCAGCAGGCCCCGGGCACCAGGCAGGTCAGCACCCCTGACTTGGCGGGGGGGGGGGAGGGGGCGCAGAGCACATCACACAGAGCCCCTGCCAGGGCATGAGTTGCAGGCTGTCAAAGGCACTTATGAATAGTTGGAGGAGGGAGGGCGGGGTGCCGCTGAGACAAATGCCTTCAATTATAAAAATTGTAAATAAACACTTTGTTTCAGAGAGAGAGAGAGTATGTGTAAGCAGGGGGGTGGGGAGAGGGAGAGGGAGAGAGAGAGAGAGTATCTTAAGCAGGTTCCACACTCAACACAGAGCCTCATGCAGGGCTCGATCCCGTGACTCTGGGATCATGACCTGAGCTCAAATCAAGAGTCAGACACTCAATCAACTGAGCCACCCAGGTGCCCCGAAATAAACATTTTAAAAGGAAAATAGAAAAAATTCAAAACACCTAAATTCCCATCAGCAGAAAACATTGGTGTTGCCCCTTCTAGTCCTGTTTGACTTTATATATATTTTGACTTTTGTTGTCTCTGTACCACTGTGTTCTTACTCTATGTATGATTTTATATAGTTTTATGATAAAAAACTTTCCATCAGGCTTTATAACCATACCTGAGGATAGTCATATGGTATTCCTTCAAGTGAATTATTTCTTTAATTGATTAACCACAATTAAGAATAATTTTGTAATACAAATTGTTATAGCTAAATCCCTGTCTGCACGGGAAGATGATTTCCTTAGTATATGTTCTAGAAGGGCATTGTTGGGGAGACAGGAATGAACAGTTGATGGCTCTTGAATATGGCATGGAGTTGCAAGCCAAATGGAGATCATCAGCTGATGATGGCACAGTCTCAGTCCATAGCTGCTCTTCTGTCTTCTTCCCCCTTGTGTGGAGGTAACACAGCCAGGGCTGTTTTCTAACCAGTACAGCGCTGCTGTGACTGAGCTAGGCACTTTCTTGGCCCAGATTTTTAGTGGTTTGGCTGTGGCAAATTTTTCTGATAAGTGACATGGTGATTCAAAGAGAATAAACTGAATCTACTGGTAGGAGGATGCCTAAGCCAGTGTTCATTTTTTTAAAAAACTTTTTAATGTTTACTTATTTTTGAGAGAGAGACAGAATGTGAGGAGGGGAGGGGCAGAGAGAGGGAGACAAAGAATCTGAAGCAAGCTCCAGGCTCTGAGCTGTCAGCACAGAGCCCAAAATGGGGCTTGAACTCATGAACTGTGACATCATGACTTGAGCCAAAGTTGGACGCTTAACTGCCTGAGCCACCCAGGCACCCCAGCCAGTGTTCATTTTTACTGTAACTTGGGGGCATAGCCCTGGAGAGCAGCAGAAAGGTGCCACCTGTGACTCACGGCCTGCCTTCTGGTGCCTGCTCCTGGCCACCCTGGATTTCTCTGTCCTTCACCTCCCCGGGCACCCACTATGTCCTCCTGGCAGAGCCATGACTTGCTCTGCTTCCTGTTCAGCCTCTGCCTGTTGTCTTCACACAAACTTCCCCATCCCTCTTTTCACCTGTCAAAATCTTATAATCTTATAATATGATCACTGCTGGAACATTCCCCCCAGCTGCTTGAACTCAGCAAATGTATAGAGATCCCAGGTTCTGTCTAATCCTGGCTTGGCTTAGCCTATGAAGGTGACTCGGAGAAACGAGAAGCCATTGCTCGGGGCAGTGGAGGTGAGTTGGGGTAAGTGGGAAGCTTTTATGATGCTGCTCATCACCTTTTGTAGTACTTTCTTTGTTAGTAGCCCATTTCTCTGAGGACTGTCCCCTCCTCCTATGTAGGGCAAACAGTCATCCCGGTTAGTCTGCGGCCTTCTGGTTTTAGCACTGATGACCTACATCCTGGGCAAGTTCTCTGGGTGGTTGGTCATACTGCCCGGCAGTTACCTTCTACTGCATGACCCTCCCCTTCGTGGTGCAGCTGAATGACCCGGAGTGCCAGGGCCCCAGGAGGTAGGGGAGAGGTGAACACCTGACTCATCAGAGCCTGTCTGCAGGGGGGTTGGAACAGGGGCACACATGCGAGTCTGTCTATGCTGAGCTGTACTGAACTGTCAATTTCAAACACTGGGTTGGGGTGCTGCATTTGGTCATGGAAGGCAGTGTAGCACAGTGGTTAAGGGCATAGACCCTGGGGCCAGACCACTTGGCACCCACCACTTAGGGCTGTGTGACCTCACACAAGTTACTTCACTTCTCTGTGTGTCACTCTTATCTGTAAACCGGGAGTCATTATTGTCCTTCTTCACGAGCTGCTGTGAAGAACAAATGAGCAAATATAGGAAAAGTTCTTGAACAGGCACTCAGTAAGTTCTTCTTAATTGTTAGTTGGCACAATTTTAGCAGGGCAGAAAAATCCACCTGGAGAGTGAAAGAAGGAAGCAAACAGGCAGAGAAGAGCACGTGTGCCCAGGAGAGATGAGCAGAGGGAGAGGTGCCTAGAGGGCTGGTTCCAGTCCCCGGAGAAGCCAGACTCCCGCCGGCCTTTGGCTCCACGCGGCATCCCTGCATCTTTAGAGTTAACTCCCCTTTTCTCCCCAAAGCCAGCCCAAGTGAATTTCTAAAATCTAATGACAGAACATCTTACCTGAAACAATATTGGACTCTTTCCGCCACCCTGAGAAATGGAACACTTTAGGTAGATAGCATTAAAGTAGTACCGGGGGACGGCGTGAGTCTGCGTTTAGGTAAAAGTATAACCATTTAAGTATAAATCCCTCCTCTGATGGCAGCTCTTTGAGAAAGAGACCCGGGCTCGGAATCAAACACTCAAGGGCAGATTAGATTTATAGTTACCCTTGGAACCTTGGAAAAGACCTGTAACTTCTCTAAGATCTACTATTTCATTTTCTGGAAGATAGAGACCATAAGTAAAAGCCCAGGCCCCAGGGACGCCAGCGTGCTCGCTGAGGTTGATGATGAAGTAAATAACAGGTCTGATCAGAACTTTGCCAAGTTCAAGAGAAAGACAAAAGTGTATACTTCTGGTACTCGTTGGACCCTCATAACAGTCCTAGAGGTAGGTACTAATATCCTTAGTTTATAGATGAAGAAATGAGGCCCCTTTGCTTGAGTTGAGAAATCACCATTTAACTCTGGGCGAGTGTGAGCCAGGGACATATGCTTTTAACCTCAAAGGGCACAACTTAGTGTAGTTTATGCCAGTTAGTGGCTAATGTGGAGCTCTGTCCCTTGAGATTTATTGATCTGGGCAAGACTCTCACCTGAACAATCTCCTAAATGGGTGAAATCTGGTTCCCCCACTTGGGCAGAGGTATGAACTGGACACATGTACTCATAGATATTCACAACTTCAGATATCTCCCAAAGCCATTTGCTTCGTTGTATATTTGAAAATAAGTAAGGCTTCCATAAAGAAACTTTGTCCACCAGTAGTAGTATCTCTTTCCTTTCTAGCAATGTGAACAAGTGGTCCAAAGCATGCTGGGAAGGGTGTGGGGACTAGGGACAGAAGAAAGCCTTTGTGAGTTGTAAAGTGTCTTATTGCAAATCCACAGGGTCAATAACAAAGCACCTGAATTTCTGAATTCTCTCTCCTTATAGCCAGATTTTATTCCTTCTTACCTAGAAAGCAATCATGTAAGGTTCTTTTTGGCATGTATTGCCACATGTTGTTTTCAATAGAAAGTTTAGCAAAGGGGTGAACTTTGGGCATGATCGCTTAACCTTAGATGGACTTCTTATATGATATGCAGATTTTGTTTCTTCAAGATGCGTGTTCTTTTTTCACACAGACTTCCTCCTCAGTTGTAACAGGTGGGAAAGAAACAGTAAGTATATCCCTAAATTATGGAGCCTTGGTTTGGTCACTTATAAAATGGGAATGACAATGCTCTAGCCATTTCCTACCTTTGCTTTAAAGATTAAAGTTTGATGCGTGAACTGTCACCGAGCACAGAGTGCAGCTCAACAATTATTCTTATGACCAGCTCAACTTAAAAATTAAGGAGAGCATGCAAAAATCACAGATTTAACAAAGCGTTAAACAGAAAACACTGGACACAAAAGAGTACATACATTTCATGTGCATCTAGATGATGTTGGCAAACAAACAAAGCTAATGTATGATGATGGATTTCAGAGTAGTGGTTACACATGCTGTTAGAGGAAGGGAGTACAGGGTGGCTTCAAGGATTCCGGCAATGTTTTGTGTTTTCATCTGCATGCTGATCACCTGTGTGAGTTCATCACGTGAAAAGTGATCCAGCTATATATTTATTATTTATATAGTTTTTGAAATGATTCTCAGCTTTTGCTGTGTTGATGAGATGTGTGTACCTCTGTTCATAGAAATGGCCTGTTCATATCCTTTGCCCATTTTCCTACCTGATTATCACCCTTTCTCCATTGGTTTAAACTATGTAAATTAAGTCCTAAGACATGAGTCATTTGTGGTGGATGTTGCAATCATTTTTTCACTGTATTTTATTACCTTTTGATTTTGTATATGACACTTAAGAGGCCATGTGGGGTTTTGCTTTGTTTTATTTGTAATCAATGGAACTTTTCCTATATTCTTCGAGGACCTGACTCTGCCCTTCTCTCTCTGTGCCAGGACTGTGGGCCTTCTCTTGGATTAGCAGCAGGCATCCCGTCCCTGGTGGCCGCAGCCCTGCTGGTGGCTTTACTATCTATACTGATTCGCCGAAGAAGCAGAAGCAAGGAGTCCACTGAGGTGACTAGAAGCTTCTTTGGGTCTAGATGTATCAGCAGGAATCAGGACTTCAGTGAACTGGATTTGGGCTGAGGGTGTCAGAATCCGAATCTTTTCTGGAGACACAATGGTGGACATTCCTGCCTCCCAATTTCTATCTCAGACTCAAGATAGTATGCTCCAGGCAGAGCCGATTTGTCACACAACCTTTGCTTCAGGAAATCTGTAGCAACAAGGATGGTATTTGGGGTGGCAAAAAGTGGCAGTGGAGAGGGACATGGGTTGCCATGGCAAACGCACGTCTGTACTAGGGGTGTGTTCTCTAAAGTCAAGAAACAAAAGGGCGCAGTCTTCATAAAGAGAGTGGAGATAATCTCAGGAAAGATAGGAGATGAACAGGTGCTGAGGTGTCTATGGTGAGGGCATGTCCACAAGTAGGTGGCTCTGTTGCTCTTTGCCCTTTTTCTACATCTGAGCACACACCAATCACAAGGGAATCTACCAACCCCACCCCTGCAAATGCCGGATTACTCTGGAGACCATGCTCAGAACTCAAAGGGCACCCAGACCAATATCCAAGAGGCTTCCGTGGTTGTAATACAACAATGTTGTGTGGACTCTGGGTTCTAATGCTATCCTCTATTTATGAACAATCCTGCTTTTTCTCATATTGATAAGCGTTAACGTGAGATAGACAAACAAGGCTCTACCCCGGGCTCTGCCATTTAATGAGTTATATGATCCTGAACAAGTGAGTCCACATTTTCATGCCTTGGTTCACTCCACTCCAAAACAGGAGTCATGCAAACTGCCCTCCCTATTTTAAGAGGTAGGCAAGGTTGTCAAGATGGATTGAGATTATGGTTGTAAAGATGTGTTGACAACCTGTAAACTTTAAACATATTGAGATGTATTGTGGTTGTTGTTGGTGTTGTTAATATTTAAGTCATAGTTACTTAACCTTCAATGCACTTTGAAATCATCTAGGAGGCTACAAAAATACCAATCACCAAAACGAATTAAATGAGCACTTCTGGACAATAGAGTTAGAGCATGGAGAATTTTAAATATATACTAAAGAGAATAGTGTAGTGAACTCAATTATCAAAACGTGGCCAGCCTTGTTTGATCTCTACTGCCACCCACTTCTCCCCACTGTCAACCCTGGTTTATTTTTGCAGTAACTTAGAATGATATTTCTCATGTATGGAATTTTTGAGGAGGTAGTTATCACCTGTTTGCTTACTTTGCTTTGTTTTTGAAGCTTTCTGATGATTCTTATGTGCATGCAGGTTTAAGAACCATTGATTTTAATCATGGTCATGGGCAATTGCTGGGATCCTTCATTTATTCTTTCCTTTTAAATGTATTTTTACCAACTTAGGAAAGTGAGAGGCCATGTGAAATTTCAGAAATCTATGACAATCCCAAGATTGCTGAGGTAAGAATTCTTGTTTAAAATCACTGTAGATCACTAATACAGTAAGCAAGCTAAGGGCTTTTAAGCCTTCCATGTACAGGCAAAGTCCAGTGTGAACACGTGTGGAAAAGAGTCGGCCCAGAGAAGCTCAGGCACAAAGGAAGTTCTCACTGTGTTTTTATTGGCTGGACAGGAATTTAGGGTTGATTTAATATTAGAAAGTCAATTTAGGGGCACCTGGGTGGTTCAGTTAGTTAAGTGTCTGATTCTTGATCTCAGCTCAGGTCATGATCTCACAGTTTGTGAGACCGAGCCCTGCGGTGGGCACTGTGCTGACAGCACGGAGCCTACGTGGGATTCTCTCTCCCTCTTTCTTAGCTGCTCCCCCACTCATGCTCATGCTCATGCTCTCTCTCAAAACAAATCAATACACTTTAAAAAAAGAAAATCAGGGGCACCTGGGTGGCTCCGTCAGTTAAGCGTCTGACTTCGGCTCAGGTCATGATCTCATGGCTCATGAATCCAACCTCCGTGTTGGGCTCTGTGCTGACAGCTCGGAGCCTGGAGACTGCTTCGGATTCTGTGTCTCCCTCTCTCTCTGCCCCTCCCCTGCTCATACTCTGTCTCTCTCTCCTTCTCTTGAAAATAAATAAACCTTAGGGGCGCTGGGGTGGCTCAGTTGGTTAAGCGTTCGACTTCAGCTCAGGTCATGATCTCACAGTTGGTTGGTTTGAGCCTCACATCAGGCTCTGTGCTGACAGCTCAGAGCCTGGAGCCTGCTTTGGATTCTGTGTCTCCATCTCTCTCTGCACCTCCCCTGCTCATACTCTGTCTCTTTCTCTCTCCTTCAAAATAAATAAGCATTAAAAAATTTTTAATTTTAAAAAATCAATATTATTTATTTCGCTGACAAATTAAAAGAGAAAAATTGTGTGGTCATCTCAACAGAAGACAGTCCAAGAAAATTAAACAGCCATTTGTGATGTGAACTTTTACCAAACTGAAAATAAAATAGGAACTTCCTTAACCTATAAGAAGACATCGTTATTTTACAAATCTGCAGCACACATCATATCTAAAGGTAAAATGTTAATGAACTCTCTCTAAGATCGGAAACAAAACAAGGATGCTCTATTCAATACTGACTTCTATTCAGTACTGTACTTTAGATCCTAGTCAATGCAGTAGGATAAGAAAAAGAAGTAGAAATTAACTTGATTGGGGGGAATTCCTTCACAATGTATACATATATCAAATAATTACATCATACTCCTTAAGCATCTTATAATTTTGTTTGTCAGTTATACCTCAATAAAGATTAAAAAAGAAATAGGATAAAGAAGAAAAAGAAGTAGAAAATATAAGATTGGAAAAGAAGAAAGAGAATGTCATGATTTCCAGATGATATGATTATCTACATAGAAAAGCCAAATTATCTACAGATAAATTATTAGAATTAAGCAAAGACTCTAACAAGCTACCTGGATATGAAATCAATATACAAAAGTAATTTGCCTTTCTAAAAATCACTAGGAATCAATTAGAAAAAGTCATTTTTAAAAATCCCATTTTGTAGTGGTATTAAAAATATGTAGAATGCTAAGGAATAAATCTAACAAAAACTGTAACCCCTTTATGGAGACTAATGAAACTTCAGTAAAAGATATTAAATGAGACCTGAACAATGGGAGTTACATCAAGCTTCTGGATAGGAAGACTCAAAAGCTGAAGATGTTGAACAACCTCAAATCATTCTATATGATAAATATAGATTCCAATATAAATCCCAACAGATTTTTGTTTCATGGAACTCAGTAAGAGGCTCCTAAAATCTGTATGGAAGAAGGCAGGAAAACATTTTTTTAAATAGCAAGGAACAGACAGAACAGAGAGGAAACAAATACGAAGATGGTGCATTTAAACTCAACCACATCAGTAACTTTATCAAATGTAAATGGTCTAGGGACACCTGGGTGGCTCAGTTGGTTGACTCTTGATTTTGGTCCAGGTCATTGGGCTCTGTACTGAGCATGGAGCCTGCTTGGGATTCTCTCTCTCTCCCTCTACCCATTTCTCCTGCTCGCACTCTGTCTCTCTCTCTAAAAAGAAAAATCTGCAAAATGTTTTTAAAAATGTAAACGGTCTAAATATCCCAATTAAAAGGCAGAGATATAAAAATCAAAATTTATATCAGATTGGATATAAAAACAAGATCCAACTATATACTGCCCACAAAAACTCACTTTAAATATAAAGACGCTGATAAATCAAAGGTAAAAGGAATGAGAAAGAAATACCATGCTAACATTAATCAAAAGAGATTGGCCTGAAAGAACCTGCCAAGGCACTAAACTTGGCTGTATAGGCCTCTCCTCATTTGTTTTCTGTCTCTCAAGGGTCATATCCTTTCTTGCCTGATGTCCAGTGTCTTGAAAACTATTGTTTTAAATGTTTTTCCGGACTTTTGGTTGTTTCAGGTGGGAGGGTAAATCTGGTTGCTGTTACTTTTCTCTATTTTTGAAACACCTGTTTGTTTTCCCAAGAATCCTAGGCGATCACCCGCACGGGAGAAGGATATCACGGGAGTGGAAGAAGCCCACATATATGTGAGGACTGTAGCGGGAAATGAAGAGCCCGTGCATGACACGTACCGTCCCGCTGTTGAAATGGAGAGAAGACGGGGACTGTGGTGGCTTGTGCCCAGATTGAGTCTGGAATGACGCCGTTTAGTCAAGGAGCAGGTATGGAGCTGGAACAGAGCTGAACACCCGTGGCTTTGTGCTCGGAGTGAGGAGAGACGCCAAGCTGCTCCTTAAACCGATCTAAATTTCATGTGTAGACCTGGAAAACTTTCGGGTTGGTTTGTCTCTGTAGGTGACAGAGCCAAAGGTTCACTCCGATACTCAGATCTTCTTGTTTAATATGCAGTGAAGCACCAAATGAGGTCCAGAAGGAGCCCTTTGATCCTATTCTTGACTCCTGCCTTTCTTTTCTTTATGATTTTGGGAAGGGACTTGATTTCTGAGTGTTTTGCCTTATCATTTTTTTTCCCATCTCTTTTCTCAAAAAGAAAAAAAAACAAAAACAAAGTCTTCAGACCTGGCTTCTGTGGGAAGATTGGCCAAGGCCAGCAGGGTGCAAGTTGGGATATAAATAAAACTTAAAGAGGATTGTGAGGGGAAGCAATTTCTTATTTCTGAACATTTTGAGATAGAAATCCTGAGGAGCCATATGGTCCCTGACTACAGGGGGAGCACAGAGCGGAATCATTCACTGCTCCCATTTGCTCAAAGAGTATTTAAGGAAGGCAATTCTGCAGGCGAGTGTGTGTGTGTGTGTGTGTGTGTGTGTGTGTGTGTGTGTGTGTGTTGAGGGTAAATAGGGTGGAATGAAGGCAAAGGTTGTTCCAAGAGATTATTAGAAATGAGGGCTATATCCATTTTGTGGGAATGGAGAGAAAGGCCCCCGTCCTTGGACTATTGTGGGGAAAAACTCACTGGCAAGGAGAGTGGGCAAGAGGACTCTGAGTGGATGAACACAGGACCAAAGGGCGGGGCTAAGTAGCAGTTTGCCTGCGGACCCATCAGCTGGCTCGGGCCAGGCCTTCACCGTTGCTTCTGTGATGGGGCTCCCAGGAGTCCTGGTTCCGCCATGCAGGGCCATTGCTGGGGAACAGGCAGGGTCTCCCGGTGAGAGAGCCTGGGTCCGTGGTATCTCAGGATCCACCCACCAGCTCCACTCTGATAATGTTGTAGAGACATTCCTTTCTCACCCAAAGACCTCTGATTGCCCAGAAACATGCCCTTCTTCTTCCAGCAACTAAGAACAGGTTCTACAAACCCAGTTACTGCCAATGCCAACATGTGCTTTCAAAGCTGCCTTCCTTAAGCAGGGAGTGGGGTTCCCCAAGATGAAAGGACCAAGAGACAGTGTCTCCCTGAGAGGGAAGGGCCACTGAGATCCAGAGAGAGACTCAGAGATAGCTGGGTGCCCAGGGAAGCAGCTCTGGTGAGAGGAGGAGCAGACAATGGCCTGAGCAAAGTGGGTCAAGAGTTAGTACCCCCTCCTCCAGAAGCTTCAGAAGGGACCCAGAACCCCCTCCAGAATCTCTGATCTTCTAGTCAAACCTGTTTCTCTCAAGATAAATCTTGAACTCTTCATTGTTTCATTTTGTCACATTTTTGTTTAGAATATTTTATAGTATTTGAGTGAAAAAGAAGACCCCACCATCTTGTTTCCTCCTATTTTTATTGCAAATGTATAGTATTTCAGCTACACTTTGGGCAAAGTGGGCTTTGACGAGCCCCCTTGGAAACGAGCCATCAACACAACAATGTTTCTGTGGAAAAATGCATTGTGAAGTCTAAGCAACTGTCATACTAATGGCCTGTTAGAGCAAAACCCATTACCAGGGGGTGGTGCCTTATCATGTTTCCAAAACTATTTCTAAAAGCAGTCTGCATTTCAATAGGGCTTAAAAAATCTCATGTTTTCCTAAGGCATCTTTAGTATAATATGGAGCATAATTTACTTAACCTGAAAAGAAAATCTGAAAAAAGTTGACAACTTTTTCTAGGCATTTCTTTCCCATGGTTCAATGTAATCCAATCCCAGATGTGCAAAAATTTCTTCTTCGCTTTCTGCTCTGAGGAATTTTTTCTGAAAGCATAAAAAGAAATATGTGCGTTCAGATACTTTTAAATATCTTCATGCTGACATAGTGAAAGTCTTACTTTGTAAATTATCTTGGCAGAATGGATTATTGCTAAAGCATAATTCCCTGCTTCTGAGTATAAAAAGTCATCTTGATTTCTCATTTTTAAATATTAACTGACTTCTGTAATTTTAATATTTTCCCACCCCAAAATATGGTATTTTATAAATTAAGGTAAAATTGGGGCGCCTGGGTGGCTTAGTCGGTTAAGCGTCCGACTTTCGCTTAGGTCATGATCTCGCGGTTCGTGGGTTCGAGCCCCGCGTCGGGCTCTGTGCTGACTGCCAGCTCAGAACCTGGAGCCTGTTTCAGTCTGTGACTCCCTCTCTCTCTGACCCTCCCCTGCTCATGCTGTCTCTCTCTCTCGATCCTAGAAATAAAATAAATAAATAAATAAATAAATAAAGGTAAAATTATGACAGCCTTACATATTTAGCTAAAGGTATTTAGTATTTTTCCAATGGGTCTGTTGTTCTTAACCACAGTTGTTTATTAGAATCCCTAAAGGAACTTTAAAAAAAAAACACTGACGCCTGAGCTACACTCCAGTTCAATGAAATCAGAATCTCAGGAGAGGTCCTGTGGCCAGTCTGTGTAAAGGCTCTGGGTAAGTCTCACACGCAGCCAGGATTATGTACTCCTGCTCCAGGGAATGAGGAGAGGCAATTATAGGATACTGTTTTAAATGAATTATTTTTAATGTTTAGTTTTTTGAGAGAGAGAGAGAGACAGAGCTCAAGCAGGGGAAGGGGCAGAGAGAGAGGCAGACACAGAATCCGAGCAGGCTGGTCCAGGTTCTGAGCTGTCAGCACAGAGAACAATGTGGGGCTTGAACTCACACACCGCGAGATCGGGACCTGGGCCGAAGTCAGTCGCTTAACCGACTAAGCCACCCAGGTGCCCCAATCATAGGATACTTGCATATGCTGGGTTCTCCTTCTGGCCTTCCTCATCTGCCCGCCCCCACCCCCCTGGCTCCTACCCCATGATCTCTTTTAGATGAAAACACCACTTTGCCCTCATCCCTTCTTGCCTATAGCAGTGTTGGACATTTAAGATGCACGCCGTTATGAAGCATTTAGTCTGTGTTAATTTGCAAGCATTCCTACACTGCGTTACATGAATCTGCCTCCACTCACATGCTTGACAGCTGAGGCTTTCCTGCCAACATCTATGGCCCTTTTGTCTGACAGCAGCACCTTGATTTTTCTTTGAGAAACCACCCTTCCCGACTCTCGGTCTGAGAGGATCAGGAGGGGCTAATTCCATCTCCAAGGAGGGCCATGCGATCAAAGCCTGGCCAATCAGAGCCATGGTGAAGGGATAAGGGATGGCCACCCGACCCAGGCCTGGCCAACGAATATCATCTAGGACTCTTTCCAGAACTATTAGGAAAGAGTCTCTTCTCTGTTAAGTTGGAAGGATGGGAATCATGGGAAAACATGCCCGAGGCTGAAACCAACACCGAGGAGAACCTGCATCAGCACCTGGATACAGACAGACCTGAGGTGAGTATTACCCCCAGATGCTGCAGCATACAAGCCAAGTATACTTTTTTCATCCCACCTTGGACTGGGTTTCTAACACTTGTAACTGAGACAGCTCAAACTAAATTACAGCTCCTGTAGGCTGTCAGCACCTAGAGGGTAAAGATAACTTCTAGTTATTTCGTGTCTTATTCCCCCTCAGAGTTTAGTTTAGCGTCCTTGGCCACTGTAAGAACAGTAGACCCTGGCGTGTAGATTTAACAGATGAATATTTAACTCTTCATAATTCATGCAGTAATTTATCATTTTGCCGAGGCACGAATTTGGATCCTGCCCAGTGCAAGTCTAGCACACCAAGTGAGTTACATAGCTGGGGAGGGAGACTTACTGACTGCTCATCTACATCTCAGGGCAGCTCTGTGGCTCTCCCTCTTGCCAAATGCTCTCATTAATGATCCAGTGGTCACTCAAAACGCTACTGCCCAGTGCATTTAAGGGTACTTGAGTGGTATTTGTGATTTGGGGGAACCCTTGGTTTTCTTTGGAGTTATTCATTGCAAACACCAAAGATATATCCAACACAATTAACGTTCACTGCTGGACTGGTTCTAAGCACCCAACATGCTCATCATCTTTGAGCCCAAAGACCTTGAGGTATATTCTGGGCCAGGGGGGGACCATGCTTCCATCAGAACCTCTCCAGCTGCCTTCAACTGTGATCTGTGGGAATAGGACACTCAGGGCAAACATCAGTTCAGGAAAAGTGCTCAGGGAGCCAGCCACAGGGATGAGGATCAAAGCAGCCCATCCTGGGGAGGTGACTCTACCTTGGTCTTGTCATATAAAGCATGGTTATCCAGGATCATCTTGCGCTCGTGCGTGGCATACCGCCGGATGTCTCTCTCAAACTGCTGGACAAGATATAAGTAAAATAAATTACTATTAAGTTTAGAATGTCTTCGGTATTATGTGTTTAGAGATATCAAAATCCCTATAATGAAATATCTATTTATCTCCAGGGAACATTCTGAAAGCAATTTTCTCTCCAAGGGCAAAGCTCTGTGACGACACACTAGAATGTAAGCTCCTTGAAAACGGGAGCCTGACTGGCTTTGTTCATAACCATGTTCCCTTCTCTGATAGTGGCTGGCACACAGAAGATGGACAGCAAGTGTTTGATGAATGAATAAATAAATGCTGTGAGGACTGTGTCCAGGATAATACCTGGTCCCAAGCAAATGCTGGATAAATAATAGTTGTTTTTTATTTGGAGCATCATCATGGTAAAAGAGAATGAGGAGTGAGGAGACCCAAATTCCAGCCTGGATTTTGTCCCTATTTGGCTCCGTCTCTTTTGGCAAGTCACCCAGCTTCTCTGAATCTTGACTGGTCAGCAGGAGGATGAAGAAAGTACATTAGTAGGGTCCCTTCTGGCTCTAACAGCCTCTTGGATGAGATTCTGTAAAACCGATGATTTGAGCCACCTGTCCCAGAATAGCATGTCCTATCATCAAGGCAGGCTCTGAGGGTGCAGGGAGTGAAAACTGAAGCCTAAGATAGAGGATAGTGAATAAAGCTGCTGTTGAGGTTAAGCACAGATCCAGAAATGTTGATCTTTCCTTGCGATATTCAGAGGAAAGCACGGGATAGTTGCGCCCTCTAGTGGCAAAGAGCCTTTCCTAGTTTAGGAAAGTTGGCTGAGGCTGGGACCCCCTCCCCACCACCGCTGGTGTGTAAGAAAACAGAGCCAAGTGGACTCTGCGGGGAGAGCTCCAGGCAGACGAACAGCTAGAACACAGCCTTAGCGTGGAGCGAATCTTAGTGTGGAGCGAGCCTGGCCTGTTTAGGAAGAGAGCAGTAGGAGAGGAGTTCAGAGGGATGAGGGGGTGAGATCATGCAGAGTCTCATGAGACACTGTAGTTTACTCTGAGTTAAATGAGGGAGTCTCTGCAAGGCTTTGATCAGGGGAGGAACCTGATCTGACTTATGTTACAGGGGGATCACTCAGCTGTACCAGACAAGGCCTGAAACAGGCAATGACATCCTTCTTAATATCTATGGAGAGTGTACCTTATGCCAGGCGCTGGGCTCACTTCTTGCTTTATATTAATTTTCTGATCTGCTCTATCACCACTAATATTTAACAGCTTCTAAAAGAGTCTAAAAGACTCTTTAATTACCTTGAAGGGAACATATTTTTTAACAGACTTTTTTAAATGTTTATTATTTTTTAAAGTTTTAAATATTTTTTTTATTTTTGAGAGAGAGAAACAGAGCATGAATGGGGGAGGGGCAGAAAGAGAGAGAGAGAGAAAGAGAGAGGAGAGAGGCAGAATCCAAAGCAGGCTCCAGGCTCTGGGCTGTCAGCACAGAGGCCAAGGCGTGGCTCGAACCCACAAACTGTGAAATCATGACCTTAGCCGAAGTCAGATGCTTAACCGACTGAGCCACACAGGGACCCCTAATGTTTATTTATTTTTGAAAGAAAGAGAGGGAGAAAGAGACAGAGGATCCAAAATGGGCTCTGCGCTGACAGCTGAGAGCCTGATGTGGGGCTCGAACTCACAAACCATGAGATCATGACCTGAACCAAAGTCAAATGCTTAACTGACTGAGCCACCCAAGTGCCCCTCGAAGAGAACAGTTTTAAGTATGTAGTTGGACTCAAAATTGTGCTGGGATGCTCATTACAATCCTGTGAAGTGGGGCTGCTGTTAGTCCATTTTTCAGAGGAAGAAAGCATGCCCAGAGAGCCTAAGTCATTTACCTGAGGCCATACAACCTATGGTAGAGCTGGTCCCCAGAATCCTGAATCCCAAAGCTCAGGCACTTTACCCAAGACGGTTTAAAATCCTCTGCTTTAGGCGTGCCTGGGTGGCTCAGTCAGTTAAGCATCTGGCTTTGGCTCAGGTCATGATCTCATGGTTTATGGGTTCAAGCCTCGCTTCGGGCTCTGTGCTGATAGCTAGCTCAGAGCCTGGAGCCTGTTTCGGATTCTGTGTCTCCCTCTCTTTCTGCCCCTCTCCTGCTCACACTGTCTCTCTCTCTCTCTCAAAAATAAATAAAACATTAAAAAAAATAAAATCCTCTGCTTTAAAACCTCTTTAGTGGGGTACCACTAGAGCGTCCAACTTCAGCCCAGGTGATGATCTTATTGCTCGTGAGTTTGAGCCCCGCATCGGGCTCTATGCTGACGGCTCAGAGCCTAAAGCCTGCTTCAGATTCTGTCTCCATCTCTCTGCACTTCCCCTGCTTGCTCTCTGTCTGTCTCTCTCAAATATAAAATAAAATAAAATAAAATAAAATAAAATAAAATAAAATAAAATAAAATAAAATAAATAAATAAATAAAACCTCTCTAGTTTCTCACAACGACCCTGCAAAATAGGCAGGGCTAGGACGAGGTCTTATGTTTCAAATGAAGGAAGCTGAACATTGAGCAGGGGCTTTGGCGCTACAGTCTGACTGTATCATTGGTCACAACAGACTTCAGATTGGCCAAGGGCTGCTGCATACAGTTGTGCAAGTTGTGCACTGCAGAACTCTAGAGGGCACCATTCACATTTGTAATCCCCAAGTTGAGGTGAGGTTCATAGATGACTTGAATTGTCTTGAGAACACTTCCCAGGCCCTGAAATCTTTGGGTAAAAAGGTGAAGTTGAATTTCTCACCTGCAGAATTTTAGACTAAACCTAATTCTGGTCATCCACCAACAGGTACCCACTTGGAGACAAAACCCACCGTATTCAGTGGTTGCATAAGCAGGGCATAAAGATAATAACACAAATGGGGCGCCTGGGTGGCTTAGTCGGTTGAGCGTCCGACTTTCGCTTAGGTCATGATCTCGCGGTTCGTGGGTTCGAGCCCCGCGTCGGGCTCTGTGCTGACTGCCAGCTCGGAGCCTGGAGCCTGTTTCTGAGTCTGTGTCTCCCTCTCTCTCTGACCCTCCCCTGCTCACGCTGTCTCTCTCTCTCCTAGAAATAAAAAAAAAATAAAAAAATAAAAATAAAAAGATAATAACACAAGTAGCTACCATATGCTGAGCACGCACCATATTCGAACACATGCAGCCTCTCATTTAACCCAAACGGCGACAATAAGAAGCGGGTACCACGATTATCCACAACAAAGATGGGGCAACGGGGGCTCAAAGAGGTTAAATAATTTCAAGTCACTGGGCAAAACGCTTAGTGTTCTATCAGCGCCTGCGGAACCAATAGCAGCAATGTCCAAGAACTGAGAGAAGAGACTAAAATGGGCTGAAAACATGCCTGTCTTTAAACAAAATGGACAAAAGGCAACCGTTTCTACCAGTGACGCCTAACTGGCCTGACCTTGTATAACTTGGGACTTGTTTTTGGAACCCTCCTCTGTCTCACCAGACTCTGGCCCCCAGAGTCACGTCTGTTGAACAAGCTGCATTCACGATATATTATTTTACCAGGTTTTCCAACTTTTATGCATGAAAAATGTCAGCCAACATTTTTGATGAGGGTGAGAAATTCTAGGGCCAAGACCCTCTGCTGAAATAATTGCACTCTCAGGCAAAGACACCAGGCATTTAGCTCAAGGTTGAGGACAATTACTTTTATGTCATTCATCCATGTGAAACCCTCTAACGACTCACGTCACTCAAGTAACAGCTAGCTGACTGGGGACACTGATGAAAGCAGGCAGTGCTTACATCAGGCGGGGGAAGCTCACGCTAATGAGATTCAAATCTGGGCACCATCGCTGTGAATGTAACAGGATGGGAGTGAGAGCTGCCACTTGGCAAGCACCGATCACATGCACGGAGTGGCGCTGGGGACTTTGCCAGCTTCATCTCACCCATCCCTGCAGCCCAGGGAGGTGACCCAGGTCCTTGACCTCACTTCCCTGGTGGGAAAGATAAGTCTTCGAGGACACAGGGATCACCCAGCCTGGGAGAGGCAGAGCAGGGGCTAATGACAGGTCAGGGAAAGGCCACACCTATGTCCTCAGCCACCTTGATGCTTTCTCTGTTTCAGTGGTCGTCGCTCTCCAGCTATCCAAAATACCTGCCGGGCTTTTTACAATTGCTAGGCTCTAACCCCAGAGTTTCTGATTCAGGAGGTCTTGGGGGAGGGGGGGGGCAGGTAGGGTGGATAATTTACATGTCTAACCTGCTCCCAGGTGATCTGATGCTGCCAGCCTGGGACCACACTGAGAATAATTGTTTAAATTAATCTGTCTCACTTGACCGCGTGCAGGGACAATGCCCAGATTTGGAGTTTTCTGGGCACTCCTCTCTGTCTCCACAGTACCACTGCCATTGTCTCTCTCCTGGGCCCGGCTTGACCCCAGCCTACCTCTTTTGGATCTGTGTAGCACTTACCCGCGAGCCAGTCCAGCCCAGCAGGGCAAAGGCACGGCGCTCGTAGGGGCACATGACCAGGTCCACACGGATGGCCTTCCAGGTCTTCCCTTCCTGCTGGCTGCATCTGCCACTGTCCACTGTCTGATGGTGCAATTTTAAAATCAGAAAGCATTTTTGAAAATGATCTAAAGCATCCACATTCCTGCTGGGCAACTTTAACTTTTCAAACGTCGACTCCACAAGGTCGTAGTATAAAACTAATCCCTGAAAGCAAACAGAAAGACATCAGGAAGAGCCCCCAGTGGACACAGTCTGTAGTTTGATACTGGGCTGTTAATGAATGCTCTTAGCAGAAGCTTTACAGATTTGAGCAGAACGTGGGCATGTTGTGCCCTTGCTATGTGAGCCCACCTGGTACCACGGGGAGAGGGAGCCAGGAAGTGGGTGTATTATCCTATGTAGCAGAGGAGCTTAGCAATTAGAGGTGTCAAGGCCACTTTGTGGCAAAGCTGCCTGACAATCCCTCTCCTTACTCCTGAATCGCTAGTCAGGGCTCAGAAACTTGCCTCACCACTTTGAGAACAAACCCATCATGAACAAAAGCCTGCTGTTTTTATGCAGTTGCTCTGAGTCAGTGTCTGTCTATATTATATGGTTGACCCAGTTTACTTGGCCCAAAGGGTTGTGGCCCGAGTCTCAGCCTCACTTTTGAGCAGGACGACTCACGACTTCTAGGTTGCATTTGGAGATTGTCACTCTGTCCGCCTCGGAGACTGGGATACAGTTAGTGACACAGATCTACCCCCCGTGTTGCTGAGTCAGACCGATAAGAAGGGATGCTGAGTCGTGCTCAGCGACCCTCCGATTTGTCTGCTCCGTGGGAATTCCTCACAGCACAGGGCAGATGTGGGGCAGGGAGAGGCAGAAATGTGTAATCAACCGCCAAATCTTGAGTGCCAGCTAACAAAGCAAATAACCTCACCATAATTCAGTCATAGCTCTGAGGCTACGTGATCTGTTACCATGCATTCCTCAGGTCAGACGTTCTCCAATTTTATCATCAGAAGCATTTGGAAGGTTTGTCACAGCACAGTCTGTGGGGGCGTCTCCCCAGAGTGATTCAGTGGAAGGAAGAAGGGTGAGGATTTGCATTTCTAGTGAGTTCCCAGGAGATGCTGGTGCTCCTGGTCCAGGGAGCACACGTGAGCATCACACTGGCTCAGATAATCTTGTTATTAGGAATGCTTTGCATTTCTTCTGTAGCCCTCCGGGAGACCTTGTTCAATTCAGCCGGATTTTGAGGGGATACTTTTCCTTTTGCTGATCTCTAGCCCTTCAGTGCCTCCCCCAGGGAAAGGTATTAGAAAAAACACATACCATTTGAGGGGGGTGGAGCACTGACGCCGGGATGACTCTCTGGGGGAGACTCCAAATATTACTATAGAATAATCTAATAACCAGCTCAAGAAAACACAATTCTGCTTGTTAATGCAACTTACAAAAATGAGTACAGTGTAGCAGCCTTTCTTGTGAACTTGCATTATGTACATTTGAAAAGTGAGTTATTAAAATATTAACAAGTCTTTCTCTGAAGTTAAATTTGCAATAACACCCACCTTCCCCCCAAATCCTCAAAGTTGTCTTCCTAGGAATCATAGCTGTGTTTATACTATCGCCACAGGGTGGTGACATTGGCTGGTCATAGACAACGGGCCATCCTTTGTAGGGGTTTGCTTGGACTTTTGCAAGGTGTTTGGGAATGCACATTTTGAATAAAAAGCTCCCGTCTGCATATTCAGACACTTTAGTCTGCAGCAGAGCACAGCTGTTAAACACACGCACAACTCCTGACATTGCCTCCTGCTGTCTGGCCTGGGCTGTTTAGGGGACATCTTTATTTTCTACCGTTCCCTTCCTCGTTGCTCCCCATTTTCCCTTGGGTAGGTTCTCTCCTTCTTTAAAAACTCGTTTAGTTTTGGGCACTGGTGGCCCATCAATAGCCAGAGGGTTCCATTTCCCAGCCACATGTTCTTCCTACTGGAAACTAAGGTACTCCTCCTAACCCGGAGGGAGGCCTTTCCCTGTTCCTTCCTCCCCCCTTCCCGGGGAGCTGAGCACATGACTCTCAGGTCTATGACACAGGGTGGGAGAGAAGTGTTTAGCCCTCAGCTTTGCCTCTCGCATAGAAGGAGGCACCATCGCCGCATGTTTAGTCACCCCCAGCCAAGCAGGGAAGGTTGCAAGGCCAGAGGGTGACGCCTCCCCCTTTTTGACAGCCAGGATCCATCCAGCTTCTGTTTCAATTCGTGCCAACCCCTTCTCAGGAGACTCCGCATCCCCTATTCAAAGTCAAGCCTGTTTCTCAGTGGGAATGAATATGTTCTCTACTCTAAAGTAGTAATACTTTGTCTGTCAGCCTTCCACAAACTGAGGATGCAGCCTGGTGGACAGTGAGCGGCCCTGAGCAAGGTCCCAGCCACCAGGGGTGAACCCCACCCCAGTGAGCCCTCCCCGCTTTGGGTTGAGCTGTGATGGCAGGAAGAGTTCAGGCTGAAGGGATGTTTGAAATGGGGACCTCTGCCAACGATCAGTATTTCCAAGCTCCTTTTCCTCCTTTTCTTCCCACTGACCAAGGGGTCTTCTCCAAGGTGCGCATTTCGTTCATCAGATGGGCAGCCCAAACCGACGCCTCCTGGCTGTTCATCATGCTCACGTAATACATGTGTGCTGTGTGAGTGTATTCATGCCTGTGCCCACGTGGGATATCATCCGTATAATCTGGAACATGCGAGTTCTGGTAAGAATGTCAGGGCTGAGGAGTGAGGTAGAAATGGAAGTTCCCCATGAGGACTTCACAGCCAAGGTGGTGGAGGCAGGTCCGGGGCTCTGCAGGGGTGCAGGCAGAGCTGGGACACCCAACTGCCACTCGGTGTCTCTTCCCTGAGGTCCTGTTTGTCTGCAAGCTCAGAGGAGGAGCTGGTGCACCTGCTGGCTCCTGGGTGCCCTCACTTGGCACGGGGCCCAGCTCTCCAGCAGAGCTCAGTAAGTACCTGTGCAGGAGCAATTACACTAACAGCCACTGGTTATTAGGTATTTACTATTACTGGGCATGGCTTCAAGTGCTTTATCTCATTCTCTCAGTTAATCCTCTCCGTTAATGAAGCAAGAGAGCCTTGCTGTCCCTGTTTTATAGATGAGGAAGGATTAAGCGAAGCAGCCCAGGTCATGCAGCCAGTAAGCTGCAGGGTTGTGCTTTTAAAGTCCCAAATAAAACCCACGGGCTTAATGTCGGCCTCCATCGGCGCCTGCCCATCTCTTTGCTTGGAGGCCAGAGGTCTGGTTGCCTCAAACTGAGGAAAGACGAAAAGAAAAGGGGCTCCTTGTTTCCATGTCCCCACATCACCATCTCCATCTTAGTCTGGAACAGTCCAGAGCATGGAGAGTGCAGTCCCTAAACACTAAGGTCAGACAGGAGTCCTAGGTCTTGCTGTCCCCACCCAGGCCTTGGCGAGCAGGCCTATGAACTGTGCTGTGTACCCATGAGAAATGACCACCTTTCCTGCTTGAGCCGAGCAGAGGGGCCTGTGCAGGTGGGGCTGACTCCTCCTCCACCTGCCTTCCTCTGGCTTGGCCGATGAGGTTCATTCTCAGGGTCCCTGGCAGCCCGGGGGCCACTCTCCTGAGAAGGACAGAGGGGGCTTGGTATGGCCTCGCAGGTGAATCTGGATCTGGTTCCAGTGCTGGGTCCTCACTTCTGGTGCTCCTGGCTCCAGGGTCGTGTGTTTCTCGCTCTTATTTTCATTTATCTGAGGCTTTTCTCCCTCTGGCAGAGCAGGGAGGCTGGCCCACACCCTGCAGAGGCTAGGTCACTCCGGAAGGATGAAGCTGGGCCAGAACACACCAGCGCCAGCATCTTCAGCTCGCCAGGCCTACGGGTCCCTGGAGTGTGGCCCTCTGGGCTCTTTGGGAAGTGGAGGTCTCCCTGGAGTGAGGCGCGGGCCAGGGCCCTGTGGGCGGCTCTGGCTGCTGGCGGTCCTTCGCTTCCCCTGCTGGGCAACAGGTCCCCCGGGGCAAGTCTGATCCCCTCACTGCGTGGGGGCTTCTAAGCTCAGCTGGTCCTCTTTGGTTTCCTTCTTCCCATCTCAGCACAAAGTTTAGGTGGTTGTTGACCCGCAGAGAGTTCAAGGCAGCAGCGACATCTCCTGGCCGATTGTATCTCAGTCCGGGTGGTCCCGCCCCACCCCTAAGCCTGCTGCCTCCCATCTCACACCGCCCAGGTCTCTACCGCGCATGCGCCCTATTCGTTTAGGGGCTGCGCCGCTTCCTCTGGTCGGACACAGAGACGTGGGGTCCTCGGCCCGTTTGGACACAGGACAGGTGTGTATAAACAAGATAGATATCCACAACACGGACTCTAGGACCCCAGGCGGGTAAGTCTCACTGTGTGTCACGTGGCATCGTGCAAGCTGTTGCAAATCGCTGAGAATCAAGTATATGGTCACGACACAAAGACGAGGTAAATAGTGTGCAAAATTCAGTGGTATTAATGGAATGCTTGAGTGTCCACACATCTACTTGTGATCCTTCTTCTTACCTTCCTTTGCCATAAGTTCATCACTTTAGGTAAAAGTTGTTCCTCATCTTCGTCTGTTGGTCCAGGGCTGGTAATTAAAAAATCTACATCATGCCCAATCTTCTTACCCCTGACCAAAAAAAAAAAAAAAAAAGTATAAAATGGAAATGAATTCGGTTTTTAGCTCTCAATTTTTCAAAGTCACCTTTGTTTCTATGCCCTATGCTCAAGGTTTGCAACACAAAAAGCTCGTGACATTCTGTTTTAAACAAACAAAATATCCTGGATTGTACAACTCTGCTCCTTGCAAGATAAATTTATGACATAGAAAAACGTCACACATGGTATGTATATGATTATATATGCGTGGGTAAAAAGTAACACAGGAAGCAATTTCTTCTGTACACTCACATGTGCACCCCCACCCCCACACATACATTCAGCGACAAGCATGGGGACCAGCAAACCAAGAACTGTATGCACACGATACAAGCAAAAGCTCTCAGAATCATGGCATTGACTGAAGGCATTTTCTTAGACATTTGATCTTCTTCTCCCACTTGCTCCCTCACTTCAAACGTGGCTTCCTAGAGTGGCCAACAGCTAACAGGTAAGAGGGCCACAGGGAGAGCTGGAGGAAGAGGTGGGAAGGAAGTAATTTCTTTCCAAAAAGGAGGCCTCAACATCCAACAACTGCACATATCTCTGCAAAGAGTTCATTCATTCATTCAGTGACTCAGCCGGTATTTTTTGAGCACCTATTTTGTGCCAGCCACCAGGTTCTCACAGAGCACTAGTTTCTACAAACTGTTTGAGGAAAGCATGCATACAAACAAATTACTTAACAGATAGCACCGGGGAGGGGTGCTCGGCTGAGCATGGTACCTGAACTGAGTCTTAAAAGTTGAGGAAAAGTCAGCCAGGTGACAATTTGAGGAAAGCACGTCCAAACACGGAAGGGTCTGACTCAGCAAGTCACAGAGGCATGAAATAGCTCCACGTGTGCAAAGAGAGACAAGCCATTTGGGGTTGCTGGAGTGGAAACATGACCTGCAGTAGATGAGGCCACAGAGAGAGGCTGGCCCCAGATCACCAAAGGCATTTGTGCCATTTAAAAGCCTGAACTTCTGAATGTGGGGAGGAATTGAAGGTGTTAGAACAGGGGTGGCAAAAGCAGCCCTCATTATCTACCTCCGGAATCCTCCTGTCATGGTGACGAAGGCATCAGGCAGAAATGCCCAGACGGCCTCTTTAACCAGCACACCGACTGCCTCTGCTTCTGCCCTGGTCACACAGCTGACGAGGTCTTCATAATAGAGGAATCCTGAGGGGCCATTGGACAGGTCAATGAAGAGAGTGACACGTGATATGACCAGCCCTCTGTGAGAGGGGATTCCGCCCCCAAATAGAGTGAACATGACCACAGGCATCAACAAACTGTTTCCACAGAGATGAGTAATCACTATTCTCTTGCTTGTGAATTTTTCATGGTAATGATGACTCTTCACTTTCTGACTTGTAAGAGTCTTACAATTTCCTGACTAAGAAAGAGACTATATTTCATATCCGTCTAGAAACCAAGGTGTTCAAATATGGCTTCTTACTAAAGAACCAGCCTTCTTAATCAATAAACTGTGCCCTGTAATTATTTAAAGATAATACCTAGAGATTTAGGATGGAAGCTCAGACCCCTTTGTTATAATGACTTGGTTATTCCCACAGACCCATGGAGGGAGCTTCCTCCAAAAATTATAAATGGAACTACTATGTGTTCCAGCAAGCCTGCTTCTGGGAATATATCTGAAGGAAATGAAAACACCATCAAAGGAATATATACACCGCCATGTTCATAGCAGCATTATTCACAATAGCCAAGGCATGGAAACTACGTAAATGTACATCAGTGGATAAAGAAGTTGTAGTGTGTGTGTGTGTGTGTGCGCGCGCGCGCGTGCGCACGCACACACACGCTTGTAAACAGGTATTATTCAGCCACTAAAATGAGGAAATCCTGCCATTTCCAGCAACACAGATGGACCTTGAGGGCATTATGTTAAGTGAAATAAGTCCACAAAAGACAAATACAGTATGGCCTCACTTATGTGTGAAATCTAAAAACAAAAACTCATAGAAGAGAAATCAGATTTGTGATTATCAGAGGCCAGTGTGGGTGGAAGAAAGTGATCAAAAGAAGGTACCAGCTTCCAGTTACAAGATAAATAAGTACCAGGGATGTAATGCACATCCTGTATGCACAACGAGGTGGCTGTAGTCAACACTGCTGGATGTGCCTTGCTCTTTTGAGTCCCAATTATATTGTATGTCTATTGCATGTTAAAAAATAAATTTTAAAACATGTACAATTTTTGACCCTTTATTGGCATTTCTTCATTAAAAAGACATTTTACTGAGCCTCCCATAAATGGAAGTGTCTAAGCCACCACCTTCAACCTGCGAGTTATCCTGCCAGGCTTTCAGCTGCCTGTCTCAACATAGTCTTCTCTTCCCAGACTGGTGGGTCATGAGCGAGTAGGTCAGCCCTGTGTCTAGATTTTTATACTTTCCCTCCTATTTTCTGGTGTCTTACAGTTTCTAAAGCAGATCCACATTTATGCTAGCAATGACTCTAATTCATTCAAATATTTTTTACTCCTCAATCTTCACGTCCATTTTCTGCCCTTGACTCCTCACCCATGCCTTTCACCCACGGGAGACAGTCAGGACCCAAACGTCTAGAGCCAGTTCAGTAAGAACCAGATCAACAGCACAACCCGATTTGACATCTGGACACGGGAATGACAACAGCCACCATGCAGAGTGTTTTTGCTCCATGCCACGCACGGTGCTATGGACTTTGCCTGCATTATTTGATTTATCCCTCATTAACTACCAATGTTACCCCCTTCTTAGGCTCAAACACTTGAATGAGCTTGCTCGAGATCACGCAGCCACAGTGTTGGAGCCAGGATTTGGATCCAGGTCTGTCTGATTCCAAAATCTTGTGCTTTTAACCATAGTACAAGAGGACAAGCAAGGCACCCAGCTCGCCGAGATTGGAGTTGAAATTCAGCTAACTCAGAGCCCTCCCACAACCTGAACAGCCTGTGGCAACACCAGGAGATCTGTAGGAGAGACGATTTACCTGCTTTTTGCATTGGTGTGAATTTCAGGGTTTTGTCTGACATTATTTTACTCAGAGTTCTGAAACCCATCCTGAACCATTTCTCAGATGTCTTCAATCCCACTCCAAACACAGAAGTAAAGAGCTGAAACAGGGAAAGGCATGCCTTTAGTTTCTGAAATGATCATTATGACAATGAAGTGATACTTTTTAAGGTCATGAGATTAGGAAAACAGTGTAAGCAAACTTCTGACCCAGTTTCTCCTGAATACGACAAGTGGGTGGATCTTGGCACACAGCTTTTTGTCAGGGGGTCCTTTCCTGACCTACGGTATTAGAAGCAGGGGCTGGCATCTGCACAGGCTTCAATGTAATCTCACCGCCAATTGCCTGTGGCATCCATGTATGACAACAGCTTTCCCTACCGGATGGTCCCCTTGGCCAAGGGTTCCTTATGCACACTCATGCTCTGCAGTTTTAAGAGGGATGATCAGGGATGCACATGTAGGTTGTATGAATTCCCCACCAGCACTCAGCTGGTAGATGGCACTGCCCAAACTCAAATCCAGGCTGTCTGTCCTCCAAGCCTGGGCTCTTGCCCACAACCACCTTTTAGGCCTGCACATCACTCCAGAACCAAAGGGATGGGCAGAAATCTCTGCCACCCGCAACTCCAAGGCGGGAACATTCAGAGGTACCAGCCCCTGCTTCAAAGCAGGAAGGAATGGGGCGCCTGGGTGGCTTAGTCGGTTAAGTGTCTGACTTTCGCTTAGGTCACGATCTCGCGGTTCGTGGGTTCGAGCCCCGCGTCGGGCTCTGTGCTGACTGCCAGCTCAGAGCCCGGAGCCTGTTTCAGTCTGTGACTCCCTCTCTCTCTGACCTCCCTTGCTCATGCTGTCTCTCTCTCTCTCCTAGAAATAAATAAAACATTAAAAAATTAAAAAAAAAAAACAAAATAAAGTAGGGAAGGAAGCAGTGGGGAGCTTTGAACACAGGTTTGCTCTTTAAAGCAGGTTTCTTTTGTACCATGGTCCCAGTGTCCCCAAGATATTTGTGCCCATCAGTGACAGATCCTAGAATATAAGGTAATTTGTATCTCACCATAACATGGCAATAAGCTCGCGCACCCATATTTATTTTGGCATCTGCTTCCTAGACCACTATTATGGACTGATTGTGCCCCCCTTCCACTCGGATGTTGAAGCCCTAACCCCCATTGTGATGGTGTTTGGAGATGAGGCTTTTGGAGAGAATTAGGTTTAGATGAGGTCATGACTGTAGGGCCCTTGTGATGGGGTTTGTGCCTTACTAAGAAGAGGCACCATGGAAATTATTCTCTCTCTCTGTGTCATGTGAAGGCCCATTGAAAAGGTATAAGAAAATAAATATTTGTTGTTTAACCCACCCAGTCTGTGGCATTTTGTTACAGCAGCCCAAGCTGGTAAACCACTTAGAGTAAGTAATAGGATTAACTGAAAAACTATCTTCAATAAATACATGTAAAATTGCTTACTTTGAAGGACTGATATCGTTCATCATTTAATACAGCTTTAACTTCAGAACTCTCTCCATCTTCAATAATTTCCTGCATGGACAGTTGAAAACATTATTAGAGGGGATGCCTGGGTGGCTCAGTTGGTTAAGCATCCAACTTCAGCTCAGGTCATGATCTCACTGTCCGTGAGTTCAAGCCCCACATCGGGCTCTGTGCTGATAGGCCAGAGCCTGGAGCCTGCTTTGGATTCTGTGTCTCCCTCTCTCTGCCACTCCCCTGCTTGCACTCATGTCTTTCTCTCTCTCTCTCTCTCTCTGTCTCAAATATAACTTTAAAACCGTTAAAAAAAATTATTAGGGGCACCTGGAGTGGCTCAGCCAGTTAAGTGTCTGACTCTTGATTTCAGCTCAGGTCATGATCTCATGGGACGTAGCCCCACATCAGGCTCTGCACTGGTAGTGTGGAGTCTGCTTGAGATTCTCTCCCTGTCTCCCTGCCCCTTCCATACACACACATAGACACACACACACACACACACACACACATATGTATGTGTGTATGTATATAGGATCTATCCATCTACCTGTCTCTATATCTATCCCACATCTGTATATGAACTGCATTCCCTTCCCCCTCTTGCCTCCTATTAGGAAGTAAGACAAATCACATTTCACCCTTACCTCGATGACACACTTCACTTTGTCCCCCAAGCAGGGAATCCCTTCTGTATCCTTCATACTGATGATCGTGAATGGCAGAGATTTAAGCACAGAAGCTGCTCTCATAAATGCCAAACAGGAGGCTTCATTTTCTCTAAATTCATAGTTTTCAGCCAGCACCTCGAAGGCGTCCTGAAGAATGAAACCGGGTGAGCAAAACTCGGTCTGTTCTGAGCACCTGACCTAGCAGTCACTTGCAAACACCTCTTGCTCTTTTTGAGTGTTGAAACACCTCCTGACAGTTTCCTTGAAGGGTGGGATTGGGTCTCCCATATCTTTGCACCCCTCCCTTGTTATGAGAAGAGCTGAACTGAAAAGACGGTCACAGAGTGCTTCATAAGAAACTTTGAGATTGCCGCCATTAGATTTTCAGGAGTGATTTAACCAACACCTGATCTCATGCCCACTGCATCCTACTAGTCATTGCTCAGCATGACCCTGCCCTCTTCCTCGCAGCCTTCCCCACCAGCTTGTGTCCAGGATTCTGCCTGCTCACTGGGCACCTTCATCTCTCAGCTCGTATGTAAAACACAGTCAGCACTTAACATGGGCTTGTTGAATGAACAAACGGGGGTGGTCACAGTGACACAGACCCAAGGTGGGTTGCTTAAGGTAGGGCACGTTTGCATTTCTAGCAGAGCAGGAAGTAGCTACAGCTGGGTGGCATCACGCTTCTGCACCCAGTACTTCAGTTTCCTGTTCTTCCTTGCACATGTGGGGCTGGGAGTCTAGAAATGAGAAGTTTTGTATTTGATATGCTACCACATGTTTTAACAACCTGACTACTTTCTCCAGGCGCAAGCAGCTGTGGACTTGTTAGGGTCGTTTGCAACACAATTGCCAAACGTCAGGCCTGGGTGGGGCCTTAGAGACCATCTAGCTAGTTTCTAGTTGAATGGGGGATGAAACCTAGGCTCAAAGAGAGGAAATGACTTGCCCAAGCTAGTTAAGGTCAGAGAGGTGGGAATCCAGGTCCGCCATCTCTCAGTTGTCTGGTTACCCAGGAAAGACTGTTTACCCATTATTGCTGTTTCTTTGTAACTTGCTCTTACTATGTTTTGGACTAATTATAGTATTTGGTTTTTCCAAACATTTGCCTTTGACAAGTGTTATGCTTCAAAGTGACAATTCTCATTAAATGGTAGTTTACCATCTCTAAAGAATATAAATATATTTCTGACTGTATTTGTCCATTTCTATGACAGAAATAGATCCATTCTTGGCCAAAATAAGAACCAGAGATCAGGCTCGGGGGGTGAATGAGTGTGGGGAAATTTTTCCCAGATTTTCAGAAAATTTCATAATTGAGTTTGCAGATCGATGGGAAGATGCTGCAAGCCCTTCATTTGCTCTGGGGAGTGTTGTAAAGCCCCTTACCGTGAATATGTGGTTAAAGTTGTTTAAAGTGGTTCTTCTCTGACATGCGTACTGCGAGATCTTTTTTACAAGTGGTGAAGTCATCTGGGGTTCTGGGTTCGGGCTAGCTGAATAGTCTTTTTTCACCTAAACAAATGCAGGAGAATCAGTTTTTAATAGCAATCAATAGTAATAATAATAGATATTATGAAGAAAAAAGTTGTAGATAGTTTGATGACAATTGTCCCTGGAGAGGATAAAATTATAGGAGAGCCAAATTTTATGTTATATGCATCTCTAATATTTGAATTGGCTATAGTTAACATGTATTGTATTTTTTTAAGTTTCTTTATTTATTTTGAGTTGGGGAGGAACAGAGAGAGGGAGAGAGAGAATCCCAAGCAAGCTGTACGCGGTCAGTGCAGAGTCTGCCATGGGGCTCAATCCCACAAACTGTGAGATCATGACCTGAGCTGAAATCAGGAGTTGGAGGCTTAACCAGCTGAGCCACCCAGGTACCCCAACATGTATTATTTTTGCAATGAGAAAAATAAACGTGCAAATGAACCATCAGTTAAGTACCATTTTCCTTTTCCACGAACTTATGTACTCATGATCTGAACCTTCTCCCTGAAGGTTTTAGCATCAATGGTGAAGGACTTGGAATTAAGAGTTTAATTTTCTTTAGTTTTTCTTTATGGATGATCATAGTCAGAAAAAAAAAACAAAAACGGAAGCCTCTACTTTTCTAGCTACCAGAACATCAGGGTGTCCACATTTTGAAACATTTGTGCATAGTGTTGTCCATAAAAATAGCTAAATTTATTAGATGCCTTCCATAGATCGGGCCCAGTGGTAAGTGCTTTACACGTATGCTACTCTAATTCTCAAACCATGTTGTGAGGTAGTTTCTATTGCTACCTTCTATCATAGAGGAGGAATCTGAAGCTCAGAAAAGCTGAGTGACTTGTCCAGGGTCATCAGGGAGTAAGCAGACCACCGGGGTTTAGGCTCAGGTCTGTTGATTCTATAGCCCATGTGCCTAGTCATCAAGCAAAGGGCAAAGATTAACCATAGGACTTACGAGCTGGTGTTTTACTGTCATCTCCACTGGTTTCCCTGCTCCCATGGATTCTATCAGCCAGGAAACGTCGAGGAGTTCTAGCTGTGAGCCAGCTTTGACATTCTGTACCTGCAGCCACTCTAGGACATCTGAGCCAGAGTTGTTTTCTGCTACAATGTGGGTAACGGAATCACTGCAGGAGGCAAGACAAAGTTACCAGCTGAAGGGATTTCTTTTTTTTTATTTTTAATTTTTTTTACTGTTGTATTTATTTTTGAGAGAGAGAGAGAGAGAGAGAGAAAGACAAGGTGAACAGGGGAGGGTCAGAGAGAGAGGGAGACACAGAATCCGAAACAGGCTCCAGGCTCTGAGCTAGCTGTCAGCACAGAGCCCAACACAGGCTCATGAGCCCAAGCATGAGATCATGCCCTGAGCCAAAGTCGGACGCTTAACTGACTAAGCCACCCAGGTGCCCCTGAAGGGGATTTCAAAATGAGAAGGGCTCCTCTTTCTCTGAAGTGTTCAGAACATTCCATCTGATGAAGAAAGATGCATAGTATACCCGACCATAGGCACAGATAATTTAGGCCTCCATGAAAGGGAAATCTGTATGAATTCGCGTAGCGATAGTGGTCTATGTTACATGTCAGACACAAGGAAAATTAAGAAAACATTAACAGAATTGTGGTGTCAATGGAAAACCAAAGTCCAGAGATGACGGAAGATGAAATTGTTCTTAAAGTAGCACCAAGCACTCTACATGAGGCTTCGGTGTGCCATTTCATTTTTATTTGTAGAGAACTTTAGTCCAGTGTCTTTCAAACTGTCTATGACCCAGAGTTAGAAGTACATTTTATATCATGACCTAAAATAAAAATAGAGATACACATAGATATGCTTCTAACATCCCATTAAATTGATCTCACAGCCCATTAGTAGATGGTGATCAGCTTTGGGGAAGTGTTACTTTACATGTTTTTCAAAGCGCAGCCTTGTGATGGAGGATAGGCAGGAAGCTTTCCTCTAATCACTGAGCGCTTACCATGTTTCAGCACCATCCAAGTACCTGGCAGCCATCATCTCATTTAATACTCACAAAGCTCCTCAGGTATGTGTTATGTTATTCACACTTCAAAAATGAGGAAACAGAAGAACAGAGTTTAAGTGACATTCTGAAAGTCACACAGCTAGTAAATGGTATTCATCCTTTCTGATTATCTTTTTTTTGGGTCAAGTAGGTTATTTCTAGTTTTTAATAAGTCTTCCCAGCCAGCGTCATATCATTGGGACCAATGTGTTTTCAGGCTCTTTTCAGTTCAAATAATCTATGAATCTGGGAGACAGCAAGATGCATATTTAGACATCCAAGAGAAAAGTAGAATTCTTTTCTCTTTTCTACTGCCCTTCCTTGACTTCCTCTTGCTCCCTCTCCTTTTTTGGTTGACTCTGGGATTCATTGGGTGATTTTTGGTTGACTGTCATATTCACAGCCCAGGTTTTTTGTGGTGGTAGAGGTAGCAGTGGTGGTAGTGGTAGGAAGTCGGGCAGCAAAGAAGAAAAGGGAAGTTTGTGGATATTAGTATCTTATGTGAAACAGATGGTTAACAGTATGTTATGACAAGACATGGGGCATGGACAAGATCTGCAGGTGGTGTGCAGAGAAGGAAAAGAGCTGGTGTGAGCTGAAAGAGGCTGGGTGGCTTTGTGGAAGGAGGGTTTTGTGTCCAGTCTTGATGGATGGGGAAGAATAGAACTTTGGGCCCTCCTGGAAGAAAAGGTTCAGAGACCAGAAGAAAAGTAGGTGAATGGCCTGGATCAGAGTGAAGAGTTTATGTTGGAAAGTAGTTATAGACATGGCTGTGTTGGTTGGAGCAACCATGTTATACAACCATGTTAAATATATAACCATGCTATAGAAGGTCTTAGAAGCCTGGTTGAGGAGGTTGGATCTTATTTACTGGGGTTGTGGAACCATGAAGGGTTTTGTGAGCAGGACACAGTGATGGCATCACTGTGATATTTAAAAACACCAATCTGGTCCATGCAGTGGTTTGGAGGGGGGAGTGATGGGTGGGAGGGCTGGGAGCTGGATAATTCTAACCCAGTTCAGCTCCTGTAGCACCAGGAAGGAAGGCAAAAGAGACATGAGCAGGGCCTCTGGCTTTAGATCACCTGCAAAAGCTGAAGTGGAGAACAGACAACTATCACTCTCCCATATCTATCACAATAAGGTAAGAGCACTCTGGGTAGACATAGTGGTTTCGGAAGGTGTATCTCTTTGGGGGACAGTGGAAATGAAATTTATTTCAGGCATGCTGCATCTGAAGGATGGCAAGAGGTCCAAGTGAGAATGTCCGGTGGACAGGTGGGATCTGAGTCTGGCGCGGGGAGACAGTTGGGGGCTGGAGGCCAGAGCTGAGACCATCTGGACGGCAGGATGTGCAGCGAGCCAAGCAGAAGTGCATCGTGGTGAAACCACATCTGACAACAGTTGGGAGAAGGCAGCTCTCTGAGTCCCTATTCTAGGTCCACATCATTCCAAAAATTCCTTATAACAAGCTTCTTGAAAGGTTGTTTATGTGAAGACTTTAAGAAGACAACGAAAGGATTAATAAAGCTACAAAGGAAGCGTTATTCCATCTAGACTTCTGCCCTTTGGTGGGAAACTTCATTATTATATTATTATTAATTATAATATGATATTTATCATTATTATTAAGGCCCTGTCTCAACTTCAGGCGGAGAAGGGTGTGCTGAGGAGGAGCCCTGGGGCTCAACTTCCAAATTCAGGCCCCTCACCATCCACTCTCCTATCATCCCCACCGCCACTATTGCTTTACTTGGGGCCGTGTGGTGCTGTCTGAGCTCACACTATTGGGTGAGAGCCACATGCATTTCTCACAGAGCTAATATAAGCATATTTGCAAATGACAGGCCAAACATCCCAAGGAAGAAGACTCTATTTTAAACTACCAACTCCTGCTCATTAAGCAATTAGCAAACAAAACGACAACAACAATAATAAAAGAATACAAACACGGCATCAAACAGGACCTCTTCAGCCACTCACACAGAGCTACTCAGAGTTCCAGACTCCTGGCCACAAGGTAAGCACTCTGTGCTCACAAGATAAGCACAGAAGTTGAAAGTCACCATTTAGAACCTTGAATGGTAATTCCGCACCATCACAGTAGCTTACTGTGGTTTGAAAATTTTTTTGATAAAAACATTGATCTGAATTTTTTGAAAACTGGTCCTTCACTACAAATCACTCAGGAAACACTAAGGTCTGTTCTAGCCCGGTCTACAGCCCCCATCTCTTTGTGTTGCCTGAGTCCGGTCGATGGACTCCTCATGGCCACCTGGCTCTGGACTACAACGTGCTTCCTGTGTCGGGCTTGTCACGCGCCCTTTGCAGACTGTTCACTGTCTCTATGCATCTGTTCACTCTCCAGCCACTGCATCCCATGTGTTCTGCTGACAGTCTCTCTGCGTTGTGCTGTGACAGCTCTTTGTGTATTTGTTGGTAGAGTAATTTCCTATCTGCTCTGAGTATGCCGATGTTGGAAATATTAATAATATGGGAATATTACTGAGTGCCAGACACTATGGTGGGCACATTTCATGCATTCCCTCATTTAATTGTCAGTAATTCTCTGAGATAGGTAATGTCACCCCCATCTAAAATGAGAAGAGACCTTGGAGATGTTAAAAAATTCACCCAGCTGATAATTGGTGGAGTCAGATTAGATCCTTGTTCTATTTTTATCCAAAACCTGTGTGCAGGGCTAAACAGAACTACCCCCTGTGACTTTGTGCTTATCCCATGGCTGTCAAGAGTGCTGCTTCTTTTCACAGAAGGAAGAACACCTGGAAGGGTATCATCATAATAACAAACCCCGATCCCCTCCAAAGGGCAGAAACAGAGATGCAATAGCACTTTCTATAGGCCACTTCCTATCGGTCACGCTGTCCCTGCTGCTGCATAGAATTGTGTTTGGTATTTTATGTCCAACAGCATATGGACCACAATAAAACTGCAAGGCGTGCAAACTGCCCCAGAAAATCTGAAAGAGCAGTTGCCACAACTAGAAGCCACAGGAAGGCCGTCAGGCTCTCTGAGCTCTGAGTTTTTCTTAACCCCCGCAGAGAGGCGGATGTGCTGAGGTCGAGCCTCGCCTCGGTGCTCATCTTCCAGTTCAGTACCCTCGCCACCCGCCCCTACCATCCCTGCTCCACCACCGCCGTCTCTCCAACCAGGGACATCTCTGGACATGGCCCCGCCTCTAGCAGAGACAGCCAGCATGCCTGGGTATGCCGGGGAGGGGAGCGGTGTAAGGATCTACAAACAATGTACTGTACAGGCACACCCACAAGAAAAGGCCAGAGAGAAATATGCCAGACTGTTAGAAAACACACACACACACACACACACACACACACACACACACATTCTTGCTTAATCCACACAAGAGTCTTACGAAGTGGGTGATACATAATTTCAGAAGAGAAAACCAATACTTGTGGAGGTTCTGTGAAACCAGGATTGAAACCCAGCTGTGCATGACTGAAGCAATCTCTTAACGTTCCACTAGACTGTGGTTAGACCCCTGAGTGAGGTGCTGTTTAAGTTTTTTTTTTTTTCTGTATTTTCCCATTTTCTGTCCTGAACCCTCTATCATCACTTTCTACGCAGGGGAAAAAAATACACATGAATGTCATTTTCAAGGGCAAAACCTGGTGCTGGGGCTGAGATGGTACCTGCCTTAGCCCCAGAGTCCTGGGCTTTCTCCTTCTACTAAAAGGTGACAGAAGGGGGCGCCTGGGTGGCTCAGTCGGTTAAGCGACTAACTCTTGGTTTCAGCTCAGGTCATGATCTTGTGGTTCATGAGTTATGGCCACACATCAGGCTCTGCGCTGGCAATGCAGAGGCTGCTTGGGATCCTCTCTCTCCCTTTCTGCCCCTCCCCTGCTTGTGCTCTCACTGTCAGAATAACTGAACTTAAAATAAATACATACATATATACATACATACATACATACATACATAAAATAAAGGTGACAGAAGCCTCAGGCAGTGACCCCCAGCTTCTTCCAAAGGTTCTAAGGTTCTGTTGAGATGGCTGTTCCTGAAAAGTCAGTGAAATCAGTTCTTCAAGTGCACCTAGTTTCATAGCCAGGGCCAGTCACTAA